CCTGGTTCGTTGCGTGGCACTTGCGAGTACATCAGTAAGTTTGATTCGCGATCTGCAGGTTTTAGCGCGCGGGCATAGTGTTTTCCAAAAAACCAATTGCCATGGGCACTGAAATGAGAGTGCGACATGACTCGGTGATTGCAGTGCCATGTTCCTATATGGTTCGCATTCTTGTTTGTTAGTGCACAATCGCATGCGAGCCTGAAAAGCAAGGCCTTCAAAATGTGCAACCTTGTGACGTACATTTTTTAGTGTTTTCGGTTTCACAACGCGTGTCTCGGAGACTACGCTTAGTTTTTTATCATTTTGCATCAAAGCCGCTAAAAGCAGCGGCTGCCAGCTACAAAGCCACAGTGACATCGATATCGTAGACATGTCGACACTGAGAACTCCGACGAACTCGGTGTTGCGTTTTTTGCGCCTTGTGGCCTTCTCCCGTCGTTCCTGATAAATCCTCATTCAGGAGTTGAACTGAACGTTGACCAGCACATAGTGATAAAAATTACGACTGGCACTTGGAGCGATGTCAAGTAAAACACTGTCGTAAATGTTCCTTGCGGACCAAATGACGACTTCGGCTGTGTCATGACTACTGACGGCGTACGATGCCTCAGTGAATTCTGCGACTTATCAGCGTTTCCGATCACCATCTCGGACAGAAGCGACTTCAGAAGCAAATCGCTATGTAAGCTATTGTAACGATTTCTGAGGCCTGAAATTTCTGCATATTTTGTATTTCAAATTCTATTTTGCGATCCCCTTCGAGTTCGATATATCCGAGATGGACTGTACGTCAAGCATGCCTTGTGACATTGAGCACTTTTTTCTCTTTATTTTCTTAGAATAACGTGGCTTTATTAGTGTGATTTCGCGCGCACGCGTGAACAAGTCATGGCCTCCCGCGGCGATCCCTGTATTGACCGAGCGCGCCATGTTAAAATTAGCCAGTGCCTGATAGAAGGCCTGCTACGAGTAATTGCTGAGTGTCTTGAGTCATTTGTCGAAAGAAGAGAAAAAACATTTTATTTTTTTAGCCGACTTTGATACAGTCGAATCTCGATAACTTGAACTCGAAGGGGTCTGAAACTTTGTTCGAATTAAAAGAAGTTTGAATTAATGAAAGCTAAACGAACGGAGGGCTCACCATACAGTGGCACATGTGCACTGAGCTAACACATGAGAGGAAAGTTTCAGAAGACTTACATTTATTCACAAATCACAGCACATCCGTCAATAATTGAAGCAATCAGTGATGCTCATCTGCACACGTTTGCCTTGCAGCGAGTCAATTTCGCATGCAGCTTGCAAAGCATTTCTACTTCGACTTCAGCATTCTCTTGGCATGAGAAGTTGCGCGTGGCAGTGTCCAGCGCCGACACTCTTTAAAGACGACGACGACAACGACTGCGTCTCCGCTGCTACCCTCTGCGCTGCAGCCGCAGCGTGACCAGCACTTGACGAGATAGGAGGAGCATCTCCACGTGGAGAGAAGCAGATCGGCATTTGAGAGAAAACCAACACTCCGCGGCAGCTTCTTCTTCTTTTTTGTTCTCTTTGCACGCGGCGTTGAAAGGACAGGGGTCTCTACGTGGCAGGGACGGGAAAGGGAAAAGCGTGGCACCGACGTGTCACAGATCGGCATTAGAGAGAGAGCCAACACTCTGTGACAGCTTTTTCTCTCTCTCTCTTAGCACGCGGCATTGAAAAGAGTAGGGTCTCCACGTGGCAGGGACGGAAAAGAGAGAAGAGTGGCACAAGTCCGTCGCAGATCAGCATTTGAGAGAGAGCGAAAATTCCACCACAGCCTTTTCTTTCCTTTTCTTCTATTCTTTCTTCACGCGCAGCATTGAGAAGTTTCGCTGTGAGATTGGGCGTAGTTCTGAGAGAATTTTCGGAGTGCGGTATGTTCGAATTAACCGTCGTAAGTACTTGCGCATTTGAATTACAGGGCATTGTCGACCATTGGAACACACATAGTTTCGACGGGACCACAGCTCAAGTTCGAATTAACCGGAAGTTTGAATTGATGAGATTCAACTGTACTTTATTGTGAATTCCAGACTGTGTGCTGCGCTATAATATTTGACTCGCGTGTTCTCGGGAGCTTCTGCTACTGATCGGCAGCATTTTCTGACCATGCTCAAAAAGTGTTTCAGCATAGTTGCCTATGGCCAGTCAAATCCCCAGTGCCCCCAAGGGAGCATTGCAAAAAATACTCTGGAATTATTACCTGTCCTTAAATACTAAACTGCCTTCCACCATGACACAGTGGTGGATCCAGAGGGGACCCCTGCCCCCCCCCCCCCCCTCTGAAGCTTGTCAGCTAACCCTCCCCTTCTCTTCAGTGCTTGCTGTCCATCTATCGCCAGTTAGGACAAATGAGTGGGACCACTGTGAGCACACATTAACAGTATTTATACCATTACAGGCTTTTTGTGCTAGTAAAAACAAAAATGGAATGACCACATTCCCTTTTCCAGTGTTAATTCAAGCAGACCCCCCCCCCCCCCCCCCTTAAATCTTTGGCTAGATCCGCCTCTGCCATGACATATCTGCACTGTGCGCCAGATAGCCTTGCTGGTCATCCAGCTTAGAAGGGGGCAATGGCTTCTCATTTTTAGCTGCTTAGAGAGACTGTCTACCGCTTGAAAATTCTTTCTCATTGTAGCGAAAATGAGAAGAGCATTCAACCCATAAGCGGCAACACGCCTGCTTTTGTCCCAATAAAAAAGGAATTATGATTGTAATTTGATGTTGAAAGTTGACGGAGAATGACTGCTAGCATCACCTGACAGTGATGTTGTCAATCTACTGGAAGAACAAGAAATTCTCACAGGTAGGCTCATTTGGTTAAAAAAAAAACATGCAGAACTTGAAATTGCATTTTACGCATTTCAGGCAGACTTGGGTTGCGGCAGAGAGGCAGACTTGGGTTGCGCCAGAGAAAAACTTTTATTTTTTTCACAATTTTAAAGAGGCACCCCGTGGTGCTGCAGACTGTGCGTTCACTTGCTTGCTCATGGCGGAGAAACACGAGCACAGCATTTGGTGGAACTCATAATAACAACCGAAGAAAAAGAAACAGGTTTTTGGCAAATAGCAGTGCGACTGACTTCAGGGAATTTTCTAACCATGCCTGTGAATGCAACGCAGTCTATTAACGTAGGGCGCACACCAGAATGCACTGAGGTTCTACAGAGAAAATTTTGCCATCCCATTCTGCTTCATCAAGGCGTCCATGCTAGCTCACATATGCAACACAGAGCACCTAAACATAACTGAAAAAGACCTGTTCTTCTAAGCAATCAGTACCCAGTGCTCCATGTTCGAAACTCCTCAGGAGGGCATGCGCCACAGGACTTGGAAAAGCTCTACTGCTGAGCACAGCAGGTGCCAGCACTAAATGACACTCTGCTCAGCGAAGTGCAGCCCATGAAAGAGATAGAGAGAAAGCAATCTACAGAAAAATGGAAAATGAAAGCATAAAAAGAAAGACACAGGAACAGAGAGAAACAGATAAAAAGAAACAATGCATGAAAAAGAAAAAGCACTGAGCAAGTGGAAAAAAGAAACATATAGAGAGGAAGAAACAGAAAGAGGAAGCAATAAATAGAGAGAAACAGAAAAGAAGGAGAAAAGAAAAAAGAATGTGAAACAGAAAGAAACAGATACAGTTGACTCTCAGTAAATGAAAATCTGATAAACAGAACTGTTGCTTTAATAGAACAACTGCCTCTGATATGACTGGTTTCATTCCTGCACATTGCAGGGATGAAACCTCTCAGTAAATGGAACTCCTGTTAAACGAAACACACTTTCGGTCCCTTCACATTCCATTTAATGAGAGTTCACTGTATATAAAAACTTGAGAGTAAGGCCACCCGGCTCTGCTCTTCCTTCCGACGAAGCTGCCATTGCTTTCTCTATCTCCCTCTTTTTTTTTTTTCTTTACTGCGACAGCAATTGTACAGACACTCTCGAGTGGTTTTTGGAGTTGCCATTTGTGTGATTTTCAGTATCAAGTTCAAAAAGATAATATAATATCACCCCTCACATAAGACTCATGAGTAAAAACTCACAAGCGCTAGCGACAAACGCGGCTGAAGCGCAGATAAGACAAGCTGGCTGTCTTCATTGCATGGACAATGGATGGGTTAACATCATCCTGCACACAAGGCCTGCTGCTTACCAAGCAGAAATTGACTCCCTGCAGTGATGAGGTTGACTAAAGCCATTTTGGCGCACCTTTTGGAGCAATTAAACTCTCACTTTGGAGAAGTTACTTACCATGCATTTTTGGCCGCTAACATTTATCTCTAAGCCAGAGCTGTTGCACCACACGAAGAAAATCCATTTGCAAGTGATGCTGCCAAGGTCTTCTGATTTGGAGCAATTTTTGGAGCACAAGAATTGTCCATTTTAGAGCTTTTTGGAGAACGTAATTTTAAATCTGCGAGCACTCTGAAGCAGCTCATTTCACATCCATATTTTCCATTTCGGAGCACTTCGTGGTGCATACGGAGTACACTGGAGAAGGTTAGTTGCATTTATATTAAAGGACATGAATAATTATTTTGGGGCTCTTATGGGGGGCCAGAAATATTTAGATTCATTGTAAATCTCATGAAACCAGTCATCTTAGGAGCACTCGCTATTTCACTCAATGATGCAAACACAATGGCTTCATGCTAATGAGCATAGGCGTGCCGAAGGTTCCCCTTCAAGGGCGGGCCCTATTATTTGAATGTATAGGGCATTGTTCGCACCAGCCCCCCCCCCCCTCCCCCATCTTGGGTGACTAGGGGAAGGAAGGAAGCAAGAACAAGATGAGAGGTTAACCAGGCACATGCCCGATTTGCTACCCAACGAGCCGGTGCAACAGTGGATAAGAGCTCTACACAAATACGACTGGATGGCCAACGCAACGTTGAACTGCTGACGGTGACTGACACGGTTGTGTACGGTCGTGAGCAATGTATTCCATGCCAGCCCGCACTCACCCATCGGAGCTGCTCAATGAGTTCATGCTCCTCCCGTGCCCTCTCCAGGCCTCGGCGGATGGTGAAGTCACCCCCTTGGGGAGTGCTCGCACGGCTCTTTGGCCGGGGTGGTGTTTTCATCCCGCCATCACTGGTTGCCTGCACACCACAGCCACTCTCATCACTTCCCATGCTTTGAAGAAAGACGGCAGGTTTTTATCCCATCAACACAAATTTCACAAAACCTTATAAGCCCTGGATGAGCTTTTCACTCACCATTATAATTAAAAAATATATTCCTTTCAGGGCATCTACAACTACAACACACTTTAAAAATCGTCATAAATGAAAATATGGCCGCTCGACCAACACAGCTGAGTCCCACAGAAACTCCCATGCATTTGAAGGCAAAACTTAACCAGTGGCTAAACGCTGCCTTGACGCTAAATGTTGCTAAAAGTTTCCTTCAACAAACCTCAAACTTTTCATCACCTTGAAGAGCCAGTAAACAACATTGTGGTCTAAAATTTTTAAAAAAGAAGTAACTGCGTACTTGCATAATGTGAACCTGCTACCAGAAGAACTTTGCGAATAAGTGTCGTAATAAGGAAATTACAGGCTATAGGGGGGGGAGGGATAAACAACTAGAGGGAAGGCAGGGAGGTTAACCAGGCACATCCCCGGTTTGCTACCTTACGCTGGGGGAATGAGAAGGAGCATAAAGATGAGAGAGAGAAGAAAGAGAAGAGAAAGAGAGAGAAAAAACAAAAAAGAAGGATTGTCAGTCAATCGGCTGGTGCGTATGCAGCGGTAGCACTACACAAAAGTTAAAGGTGGTCACGTAGGCCTGTAGTCCTCAAAAAGAACAAGACAGCTTTGACTGCTTTTTGAGCCGACGAAAGGCGATGACAGTGTTCCAGTAGCATCTGCACAGAGAGTGGCCGATCGTCCAATTGTCGCAATGCGTCCGAAGCTTCTGTCTTTCAGAGGCAAATCGAGGGCAATGGCATATCAGATGGTCGATGTCTTCTTTGGTGCAGCAGACGTCGCATTCCGCGTTGTCGGTCAATCCGATGAGGGTTCTATATGCTTTTGTGAAGGCAACCCCCAACCAAAGGCGACAAAGAAGTGAAGCTTCACGTCAAGGAAGTCCGGATGGTGGTCGAAGTTCCAGTCGAGGGTTTATTTGGTATAGTCTCGTATGTATTATGCTTGGGGTGTTCCACTACTGCAGACTCAGACTACGTGCCAGATGACGAAGTTGCTGTGCAGCGTCAGTCCTTGACAAAGGAATCGGAAGGGTGTGCTCTTCTTGGTGCAATTTGCGAGCCGCGTTGTCTGCGGAATCATTGCCACTGATGCCACAATGGCCAGGAAGCCACTGAAACTTGACCTCGTGGCCTGTTTCTGTGACGTGGTGAACAAGCCTGACAACCTTGTAAGTTAATTGTTCATGGCAACCTCGTCGAAGGACTGACTGCATGCTCTGTAGGGCTGGTTTTGAGTCGGAAAACACAGCCCATTTACTCGGTCTTTGGGATTTAATGTACTCTAGGGCGCCACGCAAAGCCACAAGTTCTGCCGCCGTAGACATAGTGACATGTGGCAGTTTGATTCGCAGAGTGATTCCTCTAGCTGGAATCACCACCGCACCACCAGAACCAGACGCTGTGGTTGAACCATCGCTGTATATGTGCACGTGGTTGTTGTACATTTCGTGCTATAGAGCAACAGGCTATAGAGCAACAAACCTGCGAAGGGGATGTAGGTGTAACTATATTAGAAACTAGCAACTAGCCTTGGGCGCAGCCTCAACATGTTTAGATGATAAATAAAAAAATAGGTTATTCAATCGATTTTTATGCACGTGTGATGAAAGCGATCTCACTGCATTTAGGAAGTTGCGGAATGCAATAAACAAAGAACTGCGAAAGGCAAAAGCGCACTTTTATGAAACTCTTTTTTTCATCGATACAGAGCAATCCAGGAAAAAAGATAGAAAATTATCATTGATGCCACAAGCCCAAAAAACGTGAAGCAGTCTTTTCATGACGTCACCATAAATAATAAAAAAGTGACAGGTGCCAGTTTGACAGAATGGTTCAATGATCATTTTGTGAACATTATGACATCACCAGATAGCGTAGGTCATTGACACTGATGTTAATGGTTGTACGCATAGCATTTTTCTCCAACCAACTGACGACATCAAGATTTGTCATACTTTTTTGAGGCAATGACAACATCGAAATTGGTAATAGTTTTTTTAGGCTAAAAAACAGTAACACTGTTGATGCAGATGGTGTTCAAATCAGACCAATGAAACGGCTTTAACTGACATCATTGCGATCCACCTTGTATTTCTGTTTCTTCTTGTTCTAGAAACTGGCCATTTTCCAAGTTCTATGACAAAAGCCAGAGTGGTGTCAGTGATTTTTAAAGGTGGTAATGGAAGTAACTCGAGGAACTACAGGCCGATTTCTTTTCTGTCTGCCTTTTCCAAAGGTTTAAAAAAGGTGATCTCTGCATAAATATAAAGTTTTTTTTTTTTTTTTTTTAAGAATGACATTCTTTCTGACTGTCAGCTCAGGTTCCACCCAGGCAGGTCGACAGAGAAAGCACTGTTATGTCAAAAGGAACTAATAATTGATAACTAACTAACTAAGCAGGCAAACTAACGTTAGATATATTTATAGACTATAGCAAGGCATTCGAACGCTTCTTCAATAATTTATTGATTGATTGATATGTAGGGTGTAACCTCCCAAAACCACCATATGATTATGAGGGACGCCATAGTGGAGGGCTCCGAAAATTTCGGCCACCTGGGGTTCTTTAACGTGCACCCAAATCTGAGCACACGGTCCTACAGCACTTTCGCCTCGACTGAAAGAGCAGCCGCCGCAGCCGGGATTTGATTCCGCGACCTGCGAGTCAGCAGCCGAGTACCTCGGCCACTACACCACCGCGATGAGGTGATCGCTTAAATCATGAAATTTTAATTAGAAAGCTAGACGACTAAGGCATCCGTGGCCCTCCAAACTTGTTGTTTCGGTTGTACCTTTCTGGATGAACTCAGTGCGTTGCTATTGAAAAGCGGAAATACCACAGAGTAGAGTATTGGCACCCATACTATTTAATTTCTATGTAAATGATATCGCTCAAAAGGTTAGTGATGCATCCATTGTGCTGTATGCTGACGATACAAGCTTGTTTGTCTCGGGCCACGAAGTTGATGATGTGTTGCAGAAATCTTGCAGTAGTCTTCCTAATCTGTCAGCATGGTCTCGTAATAATGCGCTAACAATTAACAGCTTGAAATCAAAGGCTATTATTCAGGGCTAGAGGGAGGCAGCCTCGTTTCAGTGAACAATTATTTTTGGATGGTGATCCCATTGAAACTCTGAGGAAATACAAAGTACAAGGCCTAACATTTTCAAAAGATATGAATTGGACCCATCACGTTGAACTAGTTGCAAAATCGTTGTCATCTGTCGCTGGTGTGTTGTCTCGCTGTCGACATTTTTTTCTGAAGAGGGTCAAATTGCAGATATATTACGCCTTGTTTGAATCGCATGTTAACTATTGTGCGCTTGTGTGGGCCACAACCTCGCTGGTGTGTTGTCTCGCTGTCGACATTTTTTTCTAAAGAGGGTCAAATTGCAGATATATTACGCCTTGTTTGAATCGCATGTTAACTATTGTGCGCTTGTGTGGGCCACAACCTCGCTGATGTGTTGTCTCGCTGTCGACATTTTTTTCTGAAGAGGGTCAAATTGCAGATATATTACGCCTTGTTTGAATCACATGTTAACTATTGTGCGCTTGTGTGGGCCACAACCACAAAAGCAAACACTTGTGCACTTCCTCAACTTTAAAAACGTACACTTCGACAAATAGCGAATGTACCTAATTTTTATTCCACTGAGCCATTTTTCAAAAACATATTATATTACGTGTGACAAGTCCTTATGAATACCGCCTGCTATAATCATTCTGTTTCGACTCCGCCAAACTCAAATCATTCTTAAAGCATACGTCACAACTTGAATACGTCAAGATATGTCACGACTTGAATGTCACATACGTCCCAACTTGAATGTCACATACGTCACGACTTGAAGCACCCTCCCCAAACTGCGGAGCAAGAAGAAAAAATGACAGCATATCCACCATGTGAATGATGGAGAGTGCGGCGAAGCTTGGCCTCCTGTTGTAATGAAGGGTCCTCGCGGCGCGCTTCTGCCTCGCGCGCCCGCACGTCAGGGTCTCTTCTTCGAGCGCGAGCCACCGCCGCCCTGCGCGCATGCCTCTCGGCAGCCTTGTCTATCTTCTGTCGCCAAGCCTCTGAATGCGCCCGCGCATGCCAATAGGGCGCTTTTATTCTACAATAGAGCGCCCCCTGGCATATGGCTCCGCAAAAGAACACGCGAACATCTCTCTGTGTACGTGTGACGTCAATCCTTCTTTTCTAGAAGTAAGGCCATCTTGTGTCATACCATTTGCATTTTGCAGGGTATAGTAAAAGTACCACACTCTATGGCCGGTTCAAGAATTAACGAAGGGCAGTTACCCACAACAGGGACGCACAAGCCACGCCATAAGGAGCTTTGCCCCTAAAAGGAAGAAGAAAGACCAAGCAAATGTGGAAATCAGTCCACGAGATGAGCTGGTTTCACACGGTCGAGAAAAACGACATCCCCTCTGCCTCGAACATGAATGGTCACAGTCTTGTGTGACCGCGACAAAGCACGGAAGAACCCGTCGTACGCAGCAGTGAATGGCCCCTTCACTGTGTCTCATCGCACGAAACACATGGGTTGCCATATTCATGTCTGTGAATGAAAACACTCTGTGGCTCACGCACAGCACTTTGGATTGCAGGTCATTCAACTAAGAATGTAGCCTTTCGATACGATCTGAAGGTGTCGGCGTACGGCTTGGCTTCTCACCAAAGAATTCTCGTGGTAGTCAGATTGTAGAGCCATAAAGCATTTCTGCTGCACTGAATCCGAGGTCTTCTTTTATCGCGGTACACAGGCCCAGAAGGAAGAGAGGAAGCTTCTCCACCAACTGCTCTCTATCCAATTTGGTCGTTAAAGACGCCTTCAGATGACGGCGTAGCCGCTCCACCATACCGTTGCTCGCTGGGTGGTAAG